CAAGGGCCGCTCTAGCCCACCTCCAGGACTGTCTCCACCATGGTTCGCAGAGCCCCCAGCAGGCAGTCTTCCAGCTCCCCACTGGAGGGAAAGACCACGAGCTGATTGTCCGCACTGAACACCAGCTGCACCCGGAGGACGGCTTTCCGGGCGGAGCCATCGGCCTGCAAGGGAAGAGGTCAAAAGGCAGGAGAGAACGCAGATGCTCTTCAGTCCTGGGAGCCAAAGAGTGGAGCTTCCCGGAGGTTTCACTCCATCTCTCCCCCCAAGCGGGGGCCTTGTCACCAACCCCCCTCCCTCCCTTCAGTGTCCCCTTCCTTGAGGCAGACCTGCATGGTACAATTGACGAAGGTGGAGCTCTCCTCGTGCATCACCGAGATGAGGGTCTGGCAGATGAGGAAGTTCACCAGCACGGCCAGGACCCCCAGCTTCTGCAGCCAGGACTCTGCCTCTCGCAAGCGGCACTGCAGCCTCTCAAACTCCAGCCGCTGCTGGTACGGGGACTCTTTGGTGAGGTACAACTTGTAGCCCTGCACTTCCATCTGCAGCCCGTGGACCATCTTGTAGGTGTCATCCCGCACCTGCCAGCATTACACCCAAAACAGCAGAACCCGCTGAGAATCCTGGGTGCAGGAATACTAGGCCAGGGTGTTGTTCATTACCACCGTAGATCCGGCCTGAAACTCTTCCAGTGCTGCAGACCGAGTCTGCCGGGGTGAAGATAAACCCGCATTTACACACCATTCAAAAGAGACAATTAAGAAGCTAGGAAGGAGACCAAAAGAACAGGCCCTTCTCCAGCCGCCTATCCCAGAAGAAGCAGGGTGCTAAACACACCAGACAAACAATCAAGCAGAACGCAATCTTTCATCGAGGCGCTACCAGGAGGAACCCATATGCCCTCCAACACTGGCTGGGCAAACGGTGAACAGGGAGCAGAACCCACACTCGCTATGGTGATTAGGTGATTTATTCGGGTAACGAAACGTCTGCAGGCAAACAAGAAGCTCAGAGAGCGGCAAGGATACCTGCTCTAGTTAAACGGAGGAGCCTGTCTGTATCGTTAAATCAACCGCTGAATGGCCACTTTCTTCCGGGGCTTCTCTCAACTTCAGAAACCCCAAAAGGTGGAAGAAAAATTGGGCAGAGTAGCAGAGCCCGGCCTGCTCCACAATGGACCTCTACAAAAACGACTTTGCCAAGACGATCTGGTTTAAGATGGAAGCTTGCAAACACGTTGGAAGGTAAACCTCTCACTTGTAGAAGCCGCTGGTTGCGCTTTAACCTCTGATCAAGGAATAGTTTGGCAACACAGGAAAGAAAAAGTTGTGCGTGGGACAGGGCTTAAGAACAAATAAACCTAGGGAGCTGCGTAAGGTGCGCGCTGTCTTGTCATTTAGCGGGGACTGCTTTTCCATTCTTATTTTCCTGGAGTCTCACAGCGTGTGTGATCATTACAAACCTAATCAAGTAAATAAATTAAATTGCCTCGCTGAAATATGTTCCCCACATATGTTCAGCTCACAACCACTGACAGGCTGCATCTCCAGTGTGACATATGACAAGAGTTACAATGATTTATTTCCTTGGTTCTTGCCAATTTCTCACCCCTGCCCTGCAAACACTCCCTCCTCCCCCTTGCAAGAGCTCCTGTCCCGCTCAGGCCGAGGCTCACCAGCTCCAAGATGGAGGTGCAGAGGCAGAGGAACCTGTGAAGGAACCAGTCCGCGTTGCTGTTTGTCTGGGCCAGGGACCGCTTGAGTTCCACAAAGTTGTAACACCTGCTGGTGCCCGTTGGCAGCCAGTGAACGGCTTCCAGTTCCTGCAAGAGCCTAGGCAGGAAAGAGGGAAACCTCTGCAGAAGCCGCAAACGGGCGGAGGGCCCCCCCCACCGCCTTCTCAGCATCCCAACCTGGATATGTGAAGAAGCGCTGCTCCAAAATGGGGCACCGCTTGAAGCAACTGGAGGCTCAGCTTCTCCCGGAGCTTCAAGTATTGCAAATGTTTGACATTAAAGTACCACCTGGGGATTGGGGGGGGGGAGGGGGGGGGAGAGAAGTACCAGCTGAGGGAAGGCTGAGCTACATTCCTCCAAGCAACTCCCCACAGGGCAGCAGATGGGGCAGGAGGGGCACCTCCTCCACCGCCCCCAGGCCGCCTACCGGGTGAAGGCTTTGCGGACCAAGAAAAGGCGGAAGAAGGGAATGTACTGCATCAGCTGCCACAGCCTGGCCTCCCGATGCCAGGCGCCCAAGGAAAGTGCCTCGGAGCTCTCATCGGGATGCACGCACAGCACCCCAAAGGGTGAGAATACGTAGTGCTGGGGCTTGATCAGGTACCCTGGAACCGTCACTAGGTCGTAAGGCCTGCAGCCAGGGAGGGAGGAAGAACGCCATAGAAGAAACCAGGCCCTTCCCGAAGGGCCCCGGCAGGAAAAAGGCTGCAGCCCAAGAGGCTCCTGCCCAGCCGGCCGCCTACACGAGCCCATCACGCCCGTCCCCAGCATCTCCGCCGGGAGCGCCACCGGCGGCTCCACTGCAAGGTGCCCTGCGCCTGGGGAGCTCAGGCAGCCGCGCAAGGAGCAGGAGCCCGGCGAGCGGGGCCTGCCAGAGCTCCTCCCGCCCGCAGGACGCACAAGAGGCGCGGGAGCCTCGGGCGCCGCGCGGTACCTGAAATGGCGGTTCGGGGCCGTGTTCAGGTAGAAGAACCGGATCTCCCCCGCGTGGTACCTCCCGGAGAGGGCTTCGGCTACCTGGAGCCCGCTCATCGGGGCCGGCCTGTCCGCCGCGGCTGGGTGGGCGAGGGCCGGTGCGCGGCTGGAGACCGCGGGGGACGCCAGGGAGGGGCTGTGACGGGAGTGGGAGCCGGGTCAGCGGCCCAGGCGGCCCTCCTCCTCCTCCTCTCCCTCCCCCCCTCCCTCCGGCGGGGCTCACCAGGCGGCGCAGGCGAAGTCCACGGGCAGGGCGGCTGCCAGGGCCAGGGGCAGCATGCCCAGCCCTCCCTCCCAGGGGGCTTCCCGGAGGGCCAGCCGGCCGCCCACCGGCCCCACGCAGCGCTGCAGCTCCGGCAGGGAGACGGGGCGCGGGCGCGGCAGGCCGGCGGCGCGGCGGCCCCAGTCAGCGCGGAATGGGCAGGGCAGCCCGGCGAAGGCCGGCTCCGGGGCGGCGGGCAGGCGGCGGGCCTCGGCGGCCAGGGCCAGGGCCCAGGGCCCCTCGGGAACGTCCCGCATCGCCGCGCAGTCCCGGGGGAAGGCCCTCCGCAGCGCTCCCAACAGGCCCAGGTCGGCCAGCAGCGCGCGGCTCCCGCAGGCCTGGTAGCGCAGGGCGCGCAGGTAGGCGGGTAGCGGGGCGCGCCCGGAGAGAAGCTCGCGGAACGGCGCGCAGAGCTGTAGAGCCTGCAGCAGCCGCCGCCAGGCGCGCCGCCCGCCGCCCCGCAGGACCGCCCGGCACAAGGCCAGCAGCTCGGCCAGCAGCGCCTCCACTTCCCGCGGCTCCGCGTGGCCCGCCTCCCGCAGCTGCGTGGCCAGGCGCCGCCGGAGGGAGCGCGCCCAGGCCGGGTCCGGCTGCCTCGGGAAGGCTCCGCCGGGCTCCGAGGGCTGCCCGTCGGGGAGCCCCGGGACGGGCGGCCGGGCACCGGGCGGCTCCATGGCGGCTGGGTCCGCGTTGCTAGGGGCGCGCGCGGCGTCGCTAGGAGCCCCAACGGCCCGTCCTCCGCTCCCGCGCGACCCCTGCAGGCAGGACGGGCCTTTGGGGCCTCCAGCCGGGCCCGAGGGGACGTCCCCAGGATGGCGACATTTTGAGTTTTCTGGGTTTTTCTTTTTTAATATAGTTGTTTGACTATTACTTTATCCTACCCACATGAGATGGGAGCAGTGTATAAATCTGATAAATTCATTCCATTTTCCCTGTCAAACATCCCATCCAGAAAAACACATGTGTATCACTAACAGGATATCACAAACATGGGGAACAGGCTATTGTTCTTGCAGAATTCTAGGAGGACATGCTGGACTGTGAAGAAAATACATTGTGTTTCTAATCTCATGAGCAAGGCTGAAGCTTGAGAATTACATGTTGCTCCAGAGCAGAGGACTCAAGGCTCGTGGGCCACATCTGGCCCACGGGGCTGCCCTGGAAACAGTGAAGGACCGCCCGTGGTGCCTCTGCCAGTGAAAATGGAGCTCTGTTTCCAGTGGCAGAGAGCTTGGGCCGCCACTGGTGCCCCCGACACAAATGACATTGACTTCCCCATGCCCCCGCTCCCCCGTCAAACACATTGGGACCATAAAAGGAAATTCACAAGGGCAGGGGGGATTGAATTAGAGTAGTGGGACATGTAATCAGGGCCAGAGAGAATATGTTCATTTTAGACACGTTGAATAAGTAGTGACAGGATTACTAAGCCAATAAGGAAAATATGGGCAGTAAATTTGTAGCAGCAATGGACTATGAGGCACACGTATTGATTTTTTTTAGTGTGTCTGCTTTACCTGTGTGTGTGCGTGTCCACCCTCTTTTGAAAGTGAAGAATAAAATTGCCATTGTTTTCTCTTGGAAGTTTTGGCTGGCGATTATTTCAAAACTAGACAATGGATGCCAGAATTCACACTCCAAAGTTTCCTTACATAGATCAAAACACTGAGTGGACCTCACCTGGGGATTCTTGCTGCATTTAGCAACCCACCTTCAACTCCATATTCATGCAATGTTCCGCAGTAGATGTTCACATTGTTTTGTCTAAACTGGCAAAAGTACAATAAAGTTTGTCTTGTATGGTTCCCCCATGACCTGTAGAAGAGTAAAACTTTGGAGTGTGCATCCCAGATACTCCACAGGTGGATCCCCCTAGCCATCTATAAAGGTGTAACCAAGATGTGTTGCCGTTCTGTATAAGCCTGGTGCTGATCTCAAGGGATAAATCCCACAACTGGTCAATGTTTATACACAAAGCATTACGTTCTTGTCAAATCAGATGAATTACTAGACTCAGAAGCTGTATCGTTTCTCTATCATATAATACAATCCAAAAAACAAGACTGTGTAATTGTTGTAGAACTCCAAGTACGATGTATACCCTGAAAACGATGTAATTGTTACTGAATTTAACATGTAATAAAAAAATCCAATCCAACCAATTGTGTCTTGTTAACCCAGGCCTTGCCATTAGAACAGATCAGAAAAACGCAATGGCAAGCCACTTTTGCACCGTTGCCCCAGACATTATATGGTTACTGGAAGCCACGAAGTTACTCTCCTTTGAACAGCTCAACACATAGTCCAGAGAGTTCCGAGGTTGAAAATGGGTACGTTAATGGGTCTCCTTCCCTAGATCTTTTCAGGCAACCTGTTGGAGTCCTCCTTCAAGCACCCTGTGCACGGCCAGGCATGGTCCTTGACCAGGATCCTTCAGGTAGGAGCGTTTTAGGCTCTTCCCTCCACTTCGACTTGGGAAAGTGAGAAGCCGCCTCTGGTAAACAGCGATGGGGGCTAGCAGAGAGCTTCGAAGGCTGGGTCTCAAGGGCATCGGACCGGGCCAGGATGTTTCTCGGCCGTGGAAAGCTCCTCCCGACCCCGTCTCGGGAAACGCACATTCTTCCGAAGGGAAGGAGCCCGTCTCAGCCCCCAAGCGTCCCTCCGCAGCCGCTACCGCTTCTCCGCCGCAGGCGAGGCCGTCGCTCGAAGGAGACCTGCGCCCGCGGGGCTCCCCAGCGCTCCGCCCAGAGCAGGCATCGCGGAGGCGGCGCAGGCGGGTCAAGAGGAGGCGCGCGGCGGGAGAGCGGCGGGAGGCGCGGGAGAGCTCCCGGCGGCCTCGTAGTCGGCGATCCGGCGCTGGACCAGGGAAGGCATCAGCTGCACGTAGGCGGCCATCAGGCGGTGGTTGGAGCGCACCAGCTTCCCGGCGCAGCCGTCCAGGCAGGCCTCCTGCGGGCAGGGGAGAGAGAGAGAGAGAGAGAGAGAGAGACGGGCGGGAGGGGCTCGCTCGCTCCCGCCCCACCCCCGAACCGGAACCCTCCCGCCCCCAGCCCCACCCCGGCCTCACCTCCTGGCGGGTCAGGGCGCGGTAGTTGAGGTCGGCCACGCACCGCTGGAAGCAGAGCTCCGTCATCCGGTTGTAGACCAGCAGGAAGTCCCGCAGCTGCAACGAGAGCGAGGCCTCAGCCCCCCGCCCGCCCGCCCGCCGGGGGGGGAGGGGAGGGGGGCGGGCAGGGGGCGCGGGGGGGAATCGCTCACGCTGCGTAGCTGCTGCGTCTCCGGCGTGGGGTCCTCCATGCGGGCTGGGTGGGCTCGCCTCTGCTCCCCGTGACGCCACTTCCGCCGCGCCGACGTCGCTTCCGGTGTGCCAGCGCTGGGGCCGAAGCGCGCCCGACCGACGCCGGAGCCTCCGGGGCCGGCCCGCAACGGGTGAGCGGCTCCCTCGGCTCCTCCCTGGCCCGGCCCCGGGTGGCGGGCGGGGGCGGTGCCCGCGGCGCGGCCTCCTGGGGCGGAAGGGACGGCGGTCGTGGCTCCGGGCGGCCCGGATCCTGGCCCCGAAGGCGGCCTTCTCCGGGGCCGCTCTTCCCCGGCCGGCCGGGGCTGCGGGCGCCCGGCGGGGCTGCTCCTTGCCGGGGACCGAGGTCCTCTCGCGGGGCGCCCGGGGCTGTCGTGGGGGGAGGGCGGCGAGAGGCCCCTCCGTCGCCGGCCTTACCCCGGCCGGCGTGCCGGTGCGTGCGGTAGGGAGGCGCCCTGGGCCCCCGGTCCCTCCCCACCCCCGGGCTCTCCAGGAAGCGGCAGCACCGCCCCTGCCCCGGCTGAGCCCCCGGGAGCCGTCGCGGTGTTGTCCGCGGGAGCGGGGGCGGGCGAGCAGCTGAGACACCCCCCTTCCCCCTCGCCCCAGGCACCAAGCATGAGCGAAGGGTCCATGAGCAAGGCAGCCACCATGGAGATCCCCATCCACGGCAACGGAGACTCCAGGCGCATGGCCGATGACGACGGCTTGGAGCAGGTGAGGAGGGAGGGGAGGGGAGGAGGATGGTTGGCAGAGCAGATCCGGGATCCTTTTCCCTCTGGCCGAGGCTCCGAGAACAAGCAAGCGGCCTTGCGGGAAGGGAGGCAGGCAAAAGCAGGGAACCCACCTGGCAGAGGTCCCTGCCCGGCAGGCGTTTGGAGCCCTGGGCAGCCCAGAAAGGTGGGTGCAAGTGGGTGGAAGTTTGGGGAGGCCCCTGAGAGGGCAGAGGGTTCCAGGCCCAGCCCTCCAGTGTGCTCCTGTTTAGCCCCCTCTGAGGGAAGCAGCCTTCCACTGCCTGAAGGCCTGCCAAGCAGAAGAGGGGGGGAGGGACCGGCGGCTGGCCAGGAGCAATTCAAGGAAGGTGCCCAGGCTGTGGGCCTCTCGCCTTTCCTGGAGGCTCCCAAACAACGTAGAGCACACAGGGTAGCAGAATTGGAAGGGGCCTTGGAGGTCTAGCCCCCTGCTCGATGCCCCCTCAGCTCCATTCCAGCTCTGACCGCATGGAAACTCTAGGTGGGTCAGCCTCTGCTGCTGGGCGCCCTCCCACCCTATAGCTTTGGCCCCTGAGAATCCTTCCTGTCTGTCCGGGGGCAGAGTCCAAGGCCTGGGAAAAGGCCAGCTGGGCTGCACTCTGGAGCCGAGAGGCCTGAGGGGAAGCGGCTGAAGGAAGGAGGCCCTTCCTAAACCTTGGCAGTTGTGCAGTGAGGGGCGAGATTTCAGCAGCCACAAAGAGGCCACCTCGTGTCCCCTGGGGTTCTTTACAGCTGGCAGCTTGATTCTTCCTCCCCCTCCTTAGGACTTGCAGCAAGTGATGGTGTCGGGGCCCAACTTGAACGAGACCAGCATTGTCTCTGGAGGTTATGGGGGATCGGCCGAGGGCATTGTCCCCACCGGGATCATCAAAGGTCAGCATTTGCAGGGGGTGATGAGGCTGTCGGGGGGGGGGGGGGACGGGATGGGGACCCCCTGCCTGGCCATTGCCTAGCGTTCTCAGCCTGGGAAGCACTTGGAAGCCGCCACCCCTGTGTAGGCAGCCGTGTCCATCCCCCCAGGGCTCCACTTGAGGCAAGAGGGAGGCGGGAGGCTTGGGGGTCTCATTGCTCTTTCGGAATGCCACCTGCCATCTCGCCGCCGCCTCTCCTTGCCCCCATGTCACGCTCATCGCTTCCCCCCCTTGTGTTCCCTCACCCCCTCTGGTGTGGCTCCCCTCCCCTCCCCTCCGCTGCCCTCCATTCCAGGCTCCCTTGTTCCATCTCATCCTCCCCGAGGACCACTCATCTCCCCCAGCCCTTCAGCTGCCAGCCGCATGGCCAGCCCGGCTCCCATGGCCACAGGTATCGTCCTGCACGGGGCCGGCAGGGGGAACCTCTGGGGGAGTGGGGGCCTTGTGGCCCTTTCCGTGGGGAACGGTCGGGGTGGGGGCGAAGGGGGCCGCTGTCTTTCTGGTGTGCATCTCTCCTTGCCAACTGTAGGCTCCAACTTGCACCAGCCCCACCCCAACCCAGCCATGACGGGGGAGGAGGCAGCAGCGGCAGCTGCTGCCACGCGGGGAGTGGCCGTGGAGAAGTTTGACATTGTCAGGAAATGGGGCATCAACACCTACAAAGTAAGCCTCCTTTGGGGCGGGGCGGGAGGGGGCATCCCAGATCAGAGTCCCGGGCATTGCAGGGCTCCCACTGGCTCTTGTAGCCCCCCCCCCGGGTCCCTTCGAGGGCCCTGGGGATGATCACCTGGGTGAGGCTGATGAGGCGGCCTGTGTCAGCTGGTGGGGAGAGGGGCTTCCTTGGCTGCTTGTGGGGACTTTGGGTGGAGGGCTCCTCCCAGGCAGCTGCCCTGCGTTAGCACAGGGCCGTTGGGCCGCTCTCCTGCAGCCACCTTTGCTCCGAGGCAGCTTGGCCCGAAAGCCAACCTCTCTTCTCTGCTCAGTGTACCAAGCAGCTGCTGTCAGAGCGCTTCGGACGCGGCTCGCGGACTGTCGACCTGGAGCTGGAGACCCAAATTGAGCTGCTGCGTGACACCAAACGCAAGTACGAGTCCCTGCTGGGCCTGGCACGGGCCCTCACCAGCCACTTCTACAGCCTCGTCCAGACGCAGCACGCCCTGGCGGACGCCTTCTCGGACCTCAGCCAGAAGTCCCCCGAGCTCCAGGTGAGCGCGCCCTCCCTCCCTCTCCCCTCTCCTTGACCTGGGGCCTTTGAGAAGGCTGGCTCGCCCCGTTGGGATGGGCAGGGGGCAATGGCGGGAGGGGGGCTCTGGGCCATCCCTCGGGTGGGGACGGCTGCAGGCAGGAGGGGGAGGAGGCAGCCAGAGGGCTCTTCTGCCCCCCCACCCACCCACCCACCGGGGGCAGAGCCAGGCTTCCAGCTTCCGGGGAAGGGCGGGGCTGGAGTGGATGGGCGAGGCGGGAGGGCTAAAAGAGGGCCCTGGGCTTCCTCTCCTCCAAAGCACCCAGAGCCCCCCCCCCAACCAGCTGCCCTTCCGTGGCCTCTGCGTGTGGGGGGGAGGGGCTCCCTCACCTCCTCTGGCCGCCTCCTCGCAGGAGGAGTTCGGATACAATGCCGAGACTCAGAAGCTGCTGTGCAAGAACGGGGAGACCCTGCTGGGGGCCGTCAACTTCTTTGTCTCCAGCATCAACACCCTGGTCAACAAAACCATGGAGGACACCCTCATGACGGTCAAGCAGTACGAGACGGCCAGGTGGGCCCTCCCTGGGGGGGGGGCCCCGGGGGGAGGGGGGGGGGGGGGGGGGGGGGGCTGCCATGGCTGCCGCCCCCTGACCCTCTGCCAACCCCCCTCCCTCCCTGGTGCAGACTGGAGTACGATGCTTACCGCACAGACCTGGAGGAGCTCAGCCTGGGGCCCCGGGATGCCAGCACCCTCTGCCGCCTGGATGCCGCCCAGGCCAACTTCCAGGCCCACCGCGCCAAGTATGAGAAGCTGCGGGCGGACGTGGCCGTCAAGCTGAAGTTCCTGGAAGAGAACAAGGTGAGCACCTTGGCCAGCTGGGGAGGGAGGGGGGAAGGGGGCGGCTCTGGGCAAGGGCTGGGGTGCCAGGTGGACGCTGATCTGCCCCCTCCCCCTCCCCCCCCTGCAGGTGAAGGTGATGCACAAGCAGCTGCTGCTCTTCCACAACGCCATCTCGGCTTACTTCGCTGGGAACCAGCAGCAGCTGGAGCAGACCTTGAAGCAGTTCAGCATCAAGTTGAAGAGCCCCGGGGCCGACAAGCCCTCCTGGCTGGAGGAGCAGTGAGCAGCCCCCCCACCCCCCGCCGTGCTCCTCCCGCCCTTCACGGACTTGGGGGGGG